TTGGTAATGGACATCAGTCAATGGCATCTATAAATAGAACTCATCTATTCATAACCCTTTCCAACACAGTTCTTGGGCATCAGTTATCTGCTGGATGGCTTGGCTGTCCCACTCACTATGCGCCACGATAATGATCTATAAATAGAACTCATCTATTCATAACCCTTTCCAACACAGTTCATGGGCATCAGTTATCTGCTGGATGGCTTCACTGTGCCACTGATTATGGGCCGTAGAGAGCGTCGAGTTATGGCTGATGCTGAGCGCGTGAGTGAGTTGTGCACACCAGGCACGTCAACCACACCAGACATGCCGCATCCCAGCTGATGTATGTCGCATATGTAACTACCATCTCATATGTCTTACGATATACATCTCAGATGATCTGAGTTATAAGCGTAACAAGACATGCCGCATCCCAGCTGATGTGTGTCGCATATGTAACTACCATCTCATATGTCTTACGATATGCATCTCAGATGATCTGAGTTATAAGCGTAGCAAGACATGCCGCATTCCAGCTGATGTGTGTCGCATATTTAACTACCATCTCATATGTCTTACGATATACATCCCAGATGATGTGTTATGAGCGTAGCACCTGGCATTGAGTAGTGTGGGGGGTGGTCATACCTGCTGCTACGAGGAAGTGCTGCGAGCGGCTACTCGAGACTATCTCACTGCCGTTGTACGATACCAGTGCCACACAGGTCACTTTTCTGCCCTTGTGCAGACCAATAGACGCACCACACTGACTATGAACAGATCAATAGACACATGGCATTAACTTAACTTCGAACGAGAGTCCTATCTGTAGTGTGAATGGGCCCTGTGACAGCCACGCTAGTCAAAACTAGGCTGCGTCGAAATAGCACATAGACCAGCCTAGCTGTTAATGCAAGGCACCAATAAGTGAATGTAGGGCAACAGTAAGGTTATATCAGCTCGCCATGAACCACTCTACGCACAGTAGTAGCCGTTCATGAGAACACTCAGATACACGCATGACATACAGCCACACGGTCTATTACAATAGTCAGCCCAGGCAATTCACGCACTGAAGTTTCTGACTACCGATCACTTATGTAGTGGCTGGTGTACAGTGGGCCGTGTGTTCATATGGGCGCCACCGGCACACACACTGTGCATGGCTCAACTGAAGGGGAATGCTCAACTGAAGGGGAAGGCACACAACCCCCTCAGAGGAGGAGAGCAACATACCAGCGATGCACACCCCACACACAACAGAGTGTTTGGCCATGTGAACGTATGAAGGGTACGTGACACAATAACGCACACAAAGCCGCGCATATAGTGTGTGTCTCTGTGCTTGTAATACGTACACAGCACACTATATACTCGATATATGTATGTATATACCTCGTGTATATAAGTATACATATGCACCCCAGATGAACTGTTTCCTGTTTCCGTGAGCGTAGTGTGTGGGTAAGCACCTTGGCGACACGTTACTACAGCTTGAGGGCGTAAGGAGACCAGTCGGCGTTCCTATCTGGTGCGCAAAACGCTAGTGTGGTCGAACAAACGCAGCCAGGCGACGGCGCATACGGCTACTTGCATGGGTTCATGACTAACTCTGTAACACAGAATAGGGTTGTGGTGAGGGTAGAAGCACCTATGCATGCGAGAGAGGGCCTGAGCTCAAGAAGCAATACAGAGAGCGACCAGTGGGTCCCATTGCCAATGGGCAGCCGTTCAGTGCCATGGCAGCGGTACAGCACGTGGATACGCACGTGTCGAAGAAGTGATGTGTGTGGAGTGGAGTGTTCTGTGGCATTTTGCGGTGTCTGTGGGTACTGGATGCCATGGGCGATGGGAGGGGTCAGGGGATGTGGCCGCTCTTCGCCCAAGACTTAGTGCGGCATGGAGTATTCACTCCACAAGCACTGTGGAATGTACTCCAAGAGTATGATAGAATGTACTCCAAAAGTAGTGTGTGAGTAATTCCAGGGAACGATCGAAAGATCGAGCTATATTAGCTTTTATCCTCGCAATTACAGTTCAAGGGACGATTGGACCTAAGGTGCATGCCATACCTGATTGTGGGTACAGTGACATACGCCACGAATAGTTAGCAGTTGAGTACATGCAGATGCTACTACTACCAGTGCACATGGTATATCGGTGATGGAAACCACATTGTTAGGTACATGTTATGTCAATGTGCTACACAGTAGTGCTTAGTGGAGAGGTCATCAAATGCATATGGCCCCCATGAGCGGCGGGATTAAATCATCTTTGCCGACATTAATACAACAACCGGTCGTGGCTTAGGTCTGCCTTCAATATATGTGACAGCCAAGATCGGGTTGTATTTCGAAACAAATTAGTAATTCAGTGTGTTCCGGTATGCGACAGATTGCTCCGCTCCGGAATACGAACACCCTTTTTTTTTTACTTGTGCGGATGTTCGGCTTAATACATATGGAAACCAATAGTTAATAGTTTAGTATATGCAGGTGAAACTACAAGTACACATCGTTAGTAGTATCTTGCAAGTGTGGCATATAATGTGCGAATCTTGCACAATTGTAAACTAGATTGATAATACGAGTGCTTCATTACGTTTTCAAGTTCCTTATATTTATTAGCTTCAACAAGCCGCGATCATGCCAAAGTTTGTAGCGAAGTTCTATCTGGCTTTATTTCGCATACTACATTGTATGTAAATAAAGCAAGCTGCATATGTACATAGCCTTCAAAATTACACAAGTAGGCTTTGATATTTGTGTATGTATTGTATTTCCTCACAGCTAGGACACTATAGAGGAGGCTATGATATTTGTGTACGTATTGTATTTCCTCATAGTTAACACTCTAGAAGGGCCTATGATATTTGTGTATGTATTGTATTTCATCATAATTAACACTAGAAGGGCCTATGAAATTTGTGTTTGAATTGTATTTCCTCATAGTTAACACTCTAGAAAGGCCTATGATATTTGTGTATCAATGTATTTC